GGAACAAAGTCTTTGAAGACTGTGAGACTGACGGCATTCGGAGAGGGTGCCGGTTCTGGCAGACAATTTACCGTCTGCGAGTTTCTCTTGGCAATCTGTAGAAGCGAGAACTGGTTGGTCTGCTTTGGAGATGAGCAGGATTGTTGCTCAGGCAGTGAACTGCTCGATCTGGGCGAGACAATTATCTCACGCAGCGGCGGTGACGGTGGAGGTCTGGCTAGTTCGGAGTCGCGTCGAAAAGTCTGGGAGTATCTCGGATCCGGAAGTTCACGGAATATGGCGATCTTCAACTTCTTCCGGCCCGGCCCGTCGACAGACAATACCCGTTCTAGCCTCGGGGAATCGACGGTCTGGCAGATCGAAGTAATGTTTTCCACCTCTTTGTCGGAGGACGGGAGAAATGGATCAGGCAGACAGGAGTTGTCAAGCATCAGAAATGTTTTCACTTCTCGTTGGCAATCTGTTGGCCGGAAAGAGGTCCCATTCAATTCGCTGAGTGCTGCTTTGTATAGTAAAATTGAAAATGAAGTGTGTCTTGTCAACTGTCAGGCTTAGAAGACGATGAAAGTAAAAAAGTGAACATTTTGCTATACAAACTCATATCATCAAAAGTAAACTCGATTTGGAAAGCTAAAATACTTCTTATATGCACGTAGGAAGAAGCAGATTTCGCCACAGACTACTGGTACTCCATCCGCAAAATATTCACTCCTTTGTCTGCTCATGCATGTAACCATATGTCAGTGAGCATAAGCAGGTATGGGTTGGTTCACTTCCCGTGCTCTCCCAGTTGCTATTCAATTGACCTTTTATTAACAATCAGTTTTGGCAGTAATCGTCTTTACCTCATTTCGACTACTTGTAAGACTTGTTCGAGCACTTGCAACTCTCTTACTAGCTCTATTTATATCTCCACGTCAACTTCAAACTCCGATGCCTCAATGCATTTCTATAGACCTCATCATCTCCTCCTGTCGTGCTGAATTTACTCAACTGATTTATCCAACTTTGCTCCGGAGGATAGAAGGCAGTCTAACCTGGTCAATTGGTCTTTTGGAAGACAATTAACATTTGTCTTCAAAGGTCAACCATCCACTGAACAAGGATGGAGAGAAGTTATACCGCAACTCGAAATATTTGGGTACTGCAACTATCCTTTCAATTAGCGGGAAGGGCCAGAGACTAAAAT